CCAACAATAGCCTACTGTGAACTATGAAATATCTGACTTAAATTGAAATTTTTACCCTATTTTAAGTGATACACTCTAGTTATACGTCCCAATGAACCTGATCAATGTTCCACTCAAGTATAAATTATAGTTATTCAAAGTAGCTAATTGGTAGAATAATGGATGGAAATATTTCAATTTAACTCAAAGACGGACAAATAATTACGGTCATTACTGACCGATCTTTGGGTATTCAACTGATAATAAAAATGCGTGACTACTGACTCCATAATAAGTAGTTTGGCAAGTAATTAATTTATTTTAGAAATCGAAATAAGATATGGCGAAGAAAGATTTGAAGAATATTTATGGATCAATACGCATCGAAATAGCGTATATAAAAATTTTAAAAATAGTACAAACCTAACGACAAAAATGTTCATAAAAAAGCCTATATATCCATATAAGATTATTGGTAATTTAACCGTAGTTATTAAGCTCTTGGTATAAATCTACAACAGAGAAACTTAATTGCGATTCATCAGGAAGATAATTAGAGAAGAAGAAGCTTCTTAAATTGATACTACATGATGGTCCTATAATACCCTCGATTTAGTCACCAACCCACACTTACATAGATGGACATCATCCCGGTACGTAGAACAAACATATTTCAACCATCATAAGTCACATTGACACCCAAATGGAAATGCCATATAATATGTTCTAATTCACCAGAACAAACGCATATTTCACCTCCATTTAATTATAGTGTTAGTTGGTAAGTATCGAGAGCTCATACTTGGCTAAATAGATACAACCATAATTAATTATTCTTCTATCTTCTTCTCTTCCTACTTCACACTCGGCTAAAGTAGTAAGATTACCAAACAAATTTTCCAGATTAGTAGGAACTCACCATCTATAGGTATCGATGCTTACATCAGAGCAGCACATTGAATGCATAAATCCAAAAAAGGTTCTATCTATCTATCTGTTTGACTGTCAATTTTTACTATTTCCATGAAATGAGAACAGTGTAACATCGTTAGTGTTCCTAAAATCTACCAGGTTATTCTCAACCACCTGGTGTAAAATGCACATACATAAGTTGTTCCATGTGCATGGTCCTATTTCTAGTTTAGAAGTTCTTGTTTACTCGTAAGAGTTTTATAAAAACTGTACATTCTGTACTCGATTTATTTTAATCCGTTGTAGACTATTGTAAGGAGTAAATGTGTTTATCACTAGTTATTTCGTGCAAATAATATTGTCCATGATGTGATTTCGTTATTGTGCAAATCGATCATCATCACCATCATCTGCATGTTTATGGATTCCGATATACATCGACGTTCCATAGTGATGCAAGCCTAGGTTTCGTGTAGATTATCAGTGTTGTTTCATCGGAAAGAGTCTCTCTTACAGTGAATAGTGTCTAAATGTACGTGGTTTTATTGCTGGTACTCTCGTATGTAACCTACATTTTGAAAGATTCGCAAACTTAGAGGATTGAGTGCGAATCCTTCAGTCCTGCATATTTCCCATTGTACCAACAATGCACAAATATATAATTCGAAACTAAAGTCAATAGTGATTTCCATGTTTCTAACATTATCATACTTTTCCACTTCTAACATTTTGTGAGTGATTAGATCCAATATATGTTTCAAGACAACAGCTCGAACAAATGTCCATACAGTTTCATGCAAGAATTTCATAGGATATTTATAGAATATACAAGATCATCTAACTAAGAAATACTGAGTGAATTTAAACTTCACCACATTACACAAGCAAGTGGCTATCAAAACTCAGTAAATAGGTGGATAACGCGATGGCTTTTGAAGCGAACGGTACTGGGTTCGGGTCTCAGAGTTAACATCAACTGTGAGATGCATATACATCCATCTGACGAGTCCCAAGTAAGATAAATCGCGCGTCTTAGATTCCACTGTTAGCCGCTATCCACCCTTGCTTATAATGTTTGTGAATTAACGCAATATCGAGGCATTCCGCACAGTATACACATATGCCAATAAGAGGCAGGGCCAGTAGGATGTCTCAAACTGAACAGATGTATGCTTATGTCAGAGCCTATGCAACAATATCATTAAAAGTCAATGCTGTCTCAGTTAATAAACACAGGAATAAAAAGCTAGATAAAACCTCATCATTACGTACAGTAACAGTGAACCTATAGGTTTTTTCATTTCGTTCTAATAAACAAAACGAAACTAATACATAGCGGGTTGATTTAATCAAGCGTGTTACGTTCAATTTTCAGCCATTCCTCTGGCCATGCATTCAATATTCGTTGGTTCAGCATAATGATCACTTTCACCCTGATTGCGATAAACAATTTTTAGTATTTTCTTAATGGGTGCTCCACTTGCTTTATTATCGCCGGTTTTAGTCTCATTTTACACGTGACTCGCATAATTTGCCGATGAATTAATCGTTCTCTCATTCCTATACTTTATAAACAAATGTCTATTGTCGCCAGGTCTACCTCTCCATTAAGACGCATGTATTCTAACTCTATGATTCACAATTGTTCAAGTGTGACTTTGCAGTTAACCGTTATCTCCTACATTTGAGTATTATGGATGAATCCATTATTATTCTGGGAGATGGACATGTGAGAACACCTTGCGTTGTGTAGTGAAAACATCGCTCGGATTCAACCGCGTCAGTAAAGCCTTCAAGAAACAATATTGTGAAATTGATCAACTTACAAAGTAGTTAACGCTAGGTAAATTAATATCTGTGACTATTGAAAAAAATTATTCCGTTTTATATCACTCTTCAAAAAATGACCAATATCTGTCCATTTCATTAGACGAAACAGAATCAAAAAGTGTTTAATGTTAAAAAGCCACTGTGCCGTAAATGATATTCTCCCGAATAAGTAACTACTTGTAGTAAAGTCCAATTGGAATTTTTCAAAAATAATTTCCTGTATATGTTTTTGCACATATGATTGAATTTATTTGACCTCCTGTCTGGTTATGTGAATCAATAATGGTTTGACCATAATTCTATTATTGTTATGTATCTCGCTTAAATTGTATTGATCGGTGTGATTATTATCAGAAGGGGGTTTTGTGGAGATTTTAGTAATTTCAATTATTAAGATCATGCGTCAATTGAAGCTAGACCATCATGGAAAATCTGGAAGCACTGGACGGCCGTTTCGTCCTATTGCGGGACTCCTCAGTAGTGCGCATCCACGATCCCGCCTCGCCGGATTCGAACCCAGTGTGATTATAATTTGCACCCGTTAATGTTAACAGAACAATCAACTCAACTGAGACAAAGAATAATCCAGGGTTTCCTGTTGACTACCTCCAACCACCATCTAAATCTCAATACATAGTGCCCGCACTGTCGAGTCACTTAGACTGGTGGCCACATTGCAACATGAACGATAGCATTCGATCTGCACTAATAAGGACTAGACAAGCATGACATTGATCACCACCCAGTGATCAATCAATTGTGATTACAAAGAATAATCGCTAGATTTGGAAAAAACGTCAACCGATACCAAATTAACAGTCGATGTCTAGTTCCACACTTTTGGTGGTACGAAGACCTGAGGTAGTCTTATTTTGTGCTCACTTGAGCAATCAGCACAATTGATGTTTTGTTTAGTTAGCATTAGTTACGATTGTTGGTTGTCCGCTTTTAAATCTGCTTGCATTGTCAGATACAATATATTTATCTCTTTATTAAAAAATAACTGCCTGTTCAATTTTTGCGACCATCTCCAACATCTTAAAATGACACGGTACATAGAAGCCACTGAAATGAAAACCTGATCAAACTGACTAAATTCGTGTTTCGAGATCAAGACACTTATGGAACTTCCATTTCTGCTATAGATGAACAGAAGCACTGCACACAAGGTTTCGCCATTGGATATTTCAAATGGTTATAAGCTACTGTTGTAGTGAGCGAGAACTCAGGTGGGAAGAATCAATGTAGAATTACACAGTACTTTTATAAACTATGAAGATCAAACATTAAGTACATTATATGCACATCTCCTGTCAGTTGTCCTTTACATACTTCATGATTCTTCCGATTGTTTTTATTCTAATTACTCTGTCTCCCTTCCTATCCTCTTCAATTCAATCTTCTGCTGGCAGTCATTCCACCTCCGACCGCTGATACATACTCTCAGCATAAGCAGCATACACTACACTCTGGCCCTTAACATATGTACATTTAATTCATCTGATAAACCACCAGCGATCGCACGACTATTCAGAACACAAACCTCTTGACCATTTAAAAAAATTTATAATCAGGAGGGCTGGCAGATACAGTCTCTCCCCATCATTGTAGGGATATTTTTCATTTAATGGTTCAAAGTACATCCCAACTAATCTCACAATTCAAATCAGATATACCACTGTTCAGGCAGGCAAACAGCATCAAATTTGTAAGCATAATATTCGAATATCAAGTAATTTCGTTAGACTTTAGGTAACTCTAACTTCTTCTTTATTGTCACGATTATTAACTGTGGTCAAATAAGCAAACTCAGTTGCAATATTACTACAAAACATTTCGCGCTGTGAACCATTATCAAATCCCTATTGTCATATAAGTCATATCACCTTGACATTTTTCACTGAATATAACCATTAATACCATAAAATGGAATATCGGACATACGATTCTGCCTGATGAGATTGTTTTATTCATCAGAACAAAACAGAACAACAGTCAAACATCACCTCTTACGTCATAATAGGAAACCTGTTCTACTGATTAAAATTATGATATACCAATTATTCTTTCAAAAACAACGATTAAATGGCGCATAGAATACATAATATTATCATATTTCAATGTGATAGAAAATATTAGTTAAATAAGCGTTAGTAAAGTTTCTGATCAGTGATTGGAAAATCATTTATAAACAATAAACGGATTAGATTTTTAAAAATATATGAAGGAGAAGGATTTCCAACTGAGCAAGGTAGGTTTTCAAGTTGAACTCCATTCTTTCACATTGAAACGCATGAATATTCTCCCGTTTTTCTGGAAGAAAAGAAAATAAAAAGAATGGGTTTATTTAGATGAGGTGTAGTGACAACGTAGAGAAGTTATCAATTCAAATGATATTTTCGCACGTCAATCAATGTAAGTATAGGAAGTCAGAACTACTGCTCTGACAAACTCCAGAAATTGTAAATACACAAACACATAAAATATTCACAACACTTTTTTCCCACTAGATGTGAATTGGAAACAATCAACAAAATACATTTTACAGTTTAACTGCAACTGAATTTCATTACCAAACACCTAATCAGATTCCATAATAGTGGGACAGGCTAAATATACCACATACAGATGCTTATTACTCGAAAGTATACTTTAGGCGCTTTACTTAGTCGACTATGCTTGCGGTTCAGATGGCAACCGACTCCGGAAGTTTTGAACTCTTTTGTATCTGTATCTCATAAATATTGATGGAGTTTCATGCACAAGTGGACAGGTCCTCTCGAGAAACAACCAGAGATTATGATAGTTAGCTCCTCATCTAAAACATACTAACATTGTTTACAAATAAAACATTGCATTTTATTCTGGTCTCCTTTAGTCATAACGATAATATGTAATGTGTAATCGTGTAATACAAAATTGTTCGTTTAATCGAGTACGATGCAACTTTGAGATTAGCTAACCTGGATAGAACACAGAATGAACTGATATTTCATATTCTTACTGGGATAACAATTTCACTTTCAAATATTTACTTAAATTTATGGAATTTCAACTAGAATTCAAAAAGAAACTAAACAAGCAACCAAAAATATCAACTAGTCAATATACGAACAACATACTTTGGTTTCTCAGGTTTTACCGTGATCGATCCACGACTAACATTGTGCTACAGTAACGAAGATAAACAATATGCGTGTATACAAATTCATGATTATATTCAAGTATGTATTACAAAATTAACTGGACATTTAATTACAAAGCCGAACTTCTTCCGAATGGGAGAGATGTTCCTAACTGGAATAAGTATACAAATACGACTGAGCTAATAAGAATATCAAGGTAAATGATGTGGTAAAGGCTCCTTATTGCTTCAGTTAATAGTGTCACTCTAAGCATAGATGTAGACTAGTTTCAAAGTACTATTGCTTAAATATACACAGTTCGGTAATGTAATGTGAATTGTTTGCGATCTTTACACTAACAGATACTATAACTAATCTTACTGATCAACAGTCAAGTATTATCATTAGGTCAAACATTTTTCTCGAGTTACCACTTGACTAAAGGTGAAGGGTTCGTCAATACACCTGCAACTTTGAAGTTACGTTTCAACATTTATTTTAAAAGTCCCAGCGAGTACTACACAAATGTAGGCTAGTCAATTTAATCACTGATTCACATGTTTTCATGATAATCCTATTGGTCAGTGACCTCCCAAGTTTAGGTTACCCAATTAATCTAGGTGACTGCCTTCTGTTACATGAAACTGCTTCCATCTCGATTACCAAAACATAACTACAGCAAAACGTTACTACCGTTTACTTACTGAAATGAGAATTCAGAAAGGGTCAACTAGGTACTTTCATACAAAGCTTTGTCTATCTACTTCAATGCTGCCCTCTCCACTACGAGCACCATTTATGAGCATTTGACTATGTGTGGGAACTTAGATAGCTATTGTCCAATGTTCAATCGACGAGAGATGGTCAGAGCCTAAACACTATCAACAACGCACATTTCCCCCATCTAATTTTGCAGTGTAAGCCAACCAGTCAGTTCATAAGTGATCAGTGGATAAAATCGAATTCAAATGCGTGATCCACTTCTTCAGAGATTATACTAAGTTCACACATGATAAGAGGTTAGGTAGACCACATTGAGCAAGTGAGGTCGAGTAAATAACCACACGTTGACCCTTTTATTTTTCTCTACAAACAATGCATACGTATATTTCATGAAATTCAAGAGTTTCGACCAGTGAAATCTGTTGTTTGAAGGCGTGCACGGTAAACCAATATACAGTTCATTAGAATCACAGATGTTGGCACTGAATGTTCTAAATCTCTTACTGACACGAATATTTCATCAGCTAAGCAATGACTTGATTTATAGGTAACACCCAACGAACAAAATGGAAATGTTTAAGAATGAAAGTAGTGAGTGGAAGACTTTTCGACTTAAAACTTTGCGATAAATGATCATCCAGTTTTTTCCTTTACCTTAGCAGGCGGGTCATAGGTAAAATGATAGTTCCTAACCCCACTCTTAGTATTGTTTGGGAAATCACCAGACTAAACAAGAGTAGAGATAAAAAACATGAGACAATAAAAATACAGTTCTACCATTCCAAATCTTTCAAACTCACAATTGTGGTGCATAATTCTTCAAATTTTTCCTCATATGGATATTTCCCGGAGAAGTCAATATAACGACTCTCGCCTATCATGAAACCCAGCCAACCACTTGGAACAAACTTCGACTCGACACGAAGAAAAATAGTTGGTTTGTTTAGTTTTCGAGTGTATTCAGCTTCTTTAAAATGAAGTGTGGTATAATATTAAAACAACACTGATAGTTTACCATGTGCTACGACTATTCGCTCATATCTGGTCAAAATATTATCCAATAAGTGGTCATAAATGCTTTCCGGTAGTATCTTCACGCTTCTGACAGATTTTAATCAGCTGACAACACTTTTCAGATACGAAGAAGGGAATTCCACTTCATAGTCTACGACTTGTTAATGACGTCAATTTTTAACAAAGTCAGTTTCATGTAGAAATCAACAACCATTATTGGTTAATTCAACTCAATTTATCGGCTGCCTCTAGTTTGATATTTCATGGATTGTTGACGCAGAAGCTGACAGACACCATCCACGGTACTGTAACAGCACCAAATAAGGTGCAAAGCTACGGCTCAAAGGACTGTTCTGGAATGTCATTCGAAGTTTACTTGTAAATCATGGTGGACATTGATCTGACACACGCAAAAGACAGAACTCTATATCTATTTTCAAAGCAAACAGTTCGAAAGTGTGTCAACTAGTTCCAAGTAAACTGGCACAATAGATTCTGTGTTTCCTATCAAATTAGGAGAGTTATGAGAATCGATTTCCAACGAACTGGGTCTACATGTCTAATAATCAGTACATTTTCGCCGCGCCTCTTTCAAGCAATCAAAGATGGGAAAATTCACAAACGGATCAGGCAATTTTTTAGTTAGATAATCTTGTATATTCTATAAATATCCTATGAAATTCTTGCATGAAACTGTATGGACATTTGTTCGAGCTGTTGTCTTGAAACATATATTGGATCTAATCACTCACAAAATGTTAGAAGTGGAAAAGTATGATAATGTTAGAAACATGGAAATCACTATTGACTTTAGTTTCGAATTATATATTTGTGCATTGTTGGTACAATGGGAAATATGCAGGACTGAAGGATTCGCACTCAATCCTCTAAGTTTGCGAATCTTTCAAAATGTAGGTTACATACGAGAGTACCAGCAATAAAACCACGTACATTTAGACACTATTCACTGTAAGAGAGACTCTTTCCGATGAAACAACACTGATAATCTACACGAAACCTAGGCTTGCATCACTATGGAACGTCGATGTATATCGGAATCCATAAACATGCAGCTGATGGTGATGATGATCGATTTGCACAATAACGAAATCACATCATGGACAATATTATTTGCATGAAATAACTAGTGATGAACACATTTACTCCTTACAATAGTCTACAACGGATTAAAATAAATCGAGTACAGAATGTACAGTTTTTATAAAACTCTTACGAGTAAACAAGAACTTCTAAACTAGAAATAGGACCATGCACATGGAACAACTAATGTATGTGCATTTTACACCAGGTGGTTGAGAATAACCTGGTAGATTTTAGGAACACTAACGATGTTACACTGTTCTCATTTCATGGAAATAGTAAAAATTGACAGTCAAACAGATAGATAGATAGAACCTTTTTTGGATTTATGCATTCAATGTGCTGCTCTGATGTAAGCATCGATACCTATAGATGGTGAGTTCCTACTAATCTGGAAAATTTGTTTGGTAATCTTACTACTTTAGCCGAGTGTGAAGTAGGAAGAGAAGAAGATAGAAGAATAATTAATTATGGTTGTATCTATTTAGCCAAGTATGAGCTCTCGATACTTACCAACTAACACTATAATTAAATGGAGGTGAAATATGCGTTTGTTCTGGTGAATTAGAACATATTATATGGCATTTCCATTTGGGTGTCAATGTGACTTATGATGGTTGAAATATGTTTGTTCTACGTACCGGGATGATGTCCATCTATGTAAGTGTGGGTTGGTGACTAAATCGAGGGTATTATAGGACCATCATGCAGTATCAATTTAAGAAGCTTCTTCCTTTCTAATTATCTTCCTGATGAATCGCAATTAAGTTTCTCTGTTGTATATTTATAACAAGAGCTCAATAACGACGGTGGCTATATAGAAAGTAGCGTAGGATCATTTTTTAATTAATTTTAACAGTATAACTTCGATTTCAACCGATTAAACCAATTCTCAATGTAATAAAACATCTAAATGTAAATTGTTCATTGTTTAGTAAGTGACTCTTAGGCAACCAGATTTATTATTTACTTTTACGTTTACCTGATATGATTTTCAGTTGAACGTTTTTGCTTTCAGTAAATTATTTGGTGATTTCATTCGGTTTGGCTATCAACTTATTAAATTTACTCTGGACTACTAATTTTAACAGTATTACTTCGATTTCAACCGATTAAATCAATTCTCAATGCAATAAAACATTTAAATGTAAATTGTTCATTGTTTAATAAGTTAGTTTTTCGTTTACGCGTTAAGATATCGTTAAAAATATGAGTGATTTACGAGTGATGAATGGTTGTTAGCAATGAGATCCAGGACGCGTGTTTCGTCCTATTCGGGGCTCATCAGGTGGATGTACGATGGTGCTTGAAGCGAACGGTGGTAGGTTCGAATCGCAGAATGAACATCAACTCTGAGATGCAGGAACATGTGTTTGACGAGTCCCAAATAAGACGAAACGCGCGTCTTGGATTCTACTGCTAGCCACCATCCATCTTTGCTCATAATACTTGTGACTTAAAGAAGTATCTAGGCAATCTGCACGGGATGCACACATGCCCATAAGAGACTGACCAATTGAAGTCCTAAACACCCATGAGATGATTCAAGTAAGCTATATCAAGTGATAGGTATCATGTTTAAATGTCAATGGGAATAAGAGTATTGAAAAGGAAATACTTTTATCTGATCCGTCTCAAGTATAGTGAAACTTTACTCAAAATGCATAAGCCAATTAGTGAAAAGAATACAAGCAGTGCTCAGGCAAAATAATATCAATACATTGATTCTTTTGAGTAGTCCATATAGCTATGAACATCGAATAAAAAGAGAAAGGTCCAGGCACAAAGCTAGCTACAGAAAAAATGGCCTATGGAAACTCTTTATACAACAAAAAAATGAGTAAGCGAAATTTAATTATACAACAGTTGCAAACAATTAAAAAACTTTTAAAGAAGAATTTTAAAACTTACAGACTCAAAATAATTACATCATTTTATACAGATGAATCCGGAGACTAGTCAGTCTGAATGCAGAACGTATGTCGTAAATAGTTATCAAAAAATAGTCAAAAGTCTCAGTTCAATTAAAAGGGTAAGTGACAAGGCGATATTAACCGATCTGTTCATATGTCCCAAGCTCCATGACCGAAACAGATACATTTGTACAGGTAATATATATAAACAATAAGTAATTTTTTAGAATATAGAAATCACTCATGTACATACCTGCTCTAGTATTTGCACTATGTTGGTATGATTTAGAAAAAAGTATTAATACGATTGCAGCATTTTGCACAGCGTTTGCCATTGCGTCTAAAATCTTAACATCTTGAACCATGTGATCTTTGTCAATCCAAATCTGAGAAAATAGACCGAGATAAAGATTACTGATGAGAATACAAACATGTCATAAAACGTTGGAAGAAATTCATAGACAATGTATACATCACGTACTAAAAACTATATGCAACTATACGATAAATGCGATTAATCCGAAATTGTGTGTAAATTCCTTTCGAGAAATGTCTTAATTGGTATCAATACCAAGGTTGGACTTTATAGTTTCAAATAAATTGAGTCTTGGGTAGAAAGTTAATAGTAAATATATTTTTCGCCATATCCCAATGTTATTTGTTCAAGCACATAAGCATTGGTACAAAGGGGTACCAAAAACATATGCATCACACAAGTCACTTGATTTGTGTATGAGCTGGGATACTGCCCGGGTGCCCAAACCGAAGCAGGTGCTTTTCCTACGAGGCCACATCCTGAGCCTTTGACCTAAAGGTCCAATCCACAAGGCACTAGAGCAACGTAAGGAGATGCAGTCCCATGATAATCGGTGACCAACAATAGGTTCATACACCAATTTTCCCCTTAGGATCCTGGAGCTCATGTACATCACTGGTTTGAAATCAGGGTTTCCCAACTCCCCTAGATGGATCCTCCGTATCCACCAAACCGGCTAGAGCGCCGGACATTCATTTACCGTCCTCTCAATTTCGCAAAGAACAACCCCGCCGCGAGAAGGCAGTGAGTAGGACTTCTCTGGCAGTGGTTGTATGCATGTGGCAATGTGAGAGCAATTAGAAAGGGAGAGCCGACTCTCCCCACTCTCGGCCGTACCAGAGCATTTTGGGACAATATATCCCGTTGAGTAGGAAAATTATATTTGTGACGTTTCGTGACTTGATATGAGCCACTTTTTCAGAGTAAATAAATAATAAGTCAGAAATACAAGTTTTCTACTCATTGGGATATAATAAAAATATATTTATTATGTCTTAATTAGTGTTTATGATATAATAGCTGTTCAAAGAGGAAATCAACCAACTATCTGAATGTACACAAGTAAAAAGTGTTTTTCTGAATTATCATGAAAATTTGGTTATAGTGAGATGGTTGGCGCGTAAGAGGTGTCTGAAAATATATTCAAAACCCTAGATTAACTGAAATGAGCTTCAACATAAAAGCAAATGAGAATTACGTCTCATCAAGTATTGGCTATACGAAAATATGACGAATTATGCTAATATCCAGAAGCAAATAGTTCGAATACTCGTCCCATTGTTACATGTTTGAATATTATCGTATTGACTGAATACCAAAACTAGGTGTAGCCTCACGTTATTTAAAATTAGTGAGGAATGCACTTTAAAATATGCTATTTGTCAGTTGGTATACACCATGAATGTGTGAACATTGTGAAAACCGTCAGGTCAAATACCGAAATCTAGAACGATAGTGTACGTAATTAAATTATTACTTATCAAATCGATACAGCAAAGGTAGATTCAACGAGACAACGACGATACGAATACAATTGAAATGAATAACCGTGAAAATACCATGAGAAGAAAAAAATCAATCACAAGGTAGAGTAAACAGTGAAATGGTCAGATGTTTAATCAGTCAGGTGTGACACAATCAAAATTAGGGATGGATACAGACTAGTTTTGAATTTACTTTAAATTATGGTAGTGAAACAACCTAATACTTCTCATGTTCTAACTTATAAATTAAAACCGAATACCACACATAGAATAACAACTTTGAATGAAACACCTAATTTATTTAAAGCACACATAGATTATGTCTGAATTAATCGAAAGAAAGAACTTGTGGTGATTTCTTACTGAACCACATACTAAAGGACTACGTCAAACTAATAAACGTTTTTAGCTCGGACATCATTAGCTGAAATATAGTTTACGGCAAACTTTTATTGGGATTTATCACCTAAAGTGGTATTCACAATCGCTTTCCAAGTTTTCCATTTTTACTTGACGTCGTTATAGACATGTTCATAAATGTGACTTATCGCCTGACATTTTAGGAGCGGATTTCCCACTTGGAAACGCTTAATGACTTAGAGTATGCAGATGGTGTAGTCCTATTTGGTATATATATATATATATATATATATATATATATATATATATATATATATATATATATACGCATAACAAATAAAATACCTTGATTTCTTCATTTTCCAAGCTTTCTTTAATTTTAAGTGCTATTTTGTCATCGTTATGACTGTAGCTTATCATAATATGACCATCCAGATGGTAGGGATTTCCTTCTTCTACCACGATAGATGGTTTATCTTCTATAAAATAATAATTCAAATACACATGGTTAGCAAATTCTATTCTGATAAAATCCCGCTTTAAAATTGTGACAACCGAATTAAGATTTTTATTATCCACCCGGCAATTTTTGAATTTTTTTTAAATTCCCCCCACTCCACTGAAAAATTTTTTCCACCCCCAAATTACAATATTTTTCATCCCCTGTTTCGTCCAATGAAATGGCTAGTTGTAAAATTCGTTTTAATTGTTTGTTATGTCTTGAAAATTGTTATAAAATATCAGTACTTGTAGACGAAGTACATTTTAATCGTCATTATGGAGGACAGTAACGTGCCAAGTACAAGCACTGATGTTTCTCACGTCACGGAAATGGAGGAAGTCTTTTTGACAACCTTGTTTCTAGTTGCGTTCCCATCAGTTGAAGCGTTAAAGGCTGCTATCGCAACTTTCGAAAGATCGACTTACAGTCATTATGTAGTGAGAGATTCGCATACGGGCAGAGATGAGAATTTGTATATTAAATTTGTGTGTTGGAGAAATGGGCGTATAAGATCTAGCGGTTTGTCACAGCGTATTAGACGTAGGAGGTAGTTTGGTTAATGTAATTATAATTTTGTTCACGAAGGGCTTCCATGAACACGCAATGTCCGGCCTTCATGTATTGTAACATCCTTGGGTGGGCTTTGCGAATACGAATTGGACGATGAGAACTGTCAATCGTATTTCTTCTTCATGACTGCTGAGCAATTGAATTTGACCGGTCACTTTTGTGACGTAATTGGTTTTGACGGAACATACAAAAGGAATAACGAGAACGTTCATTTATATCAAGTCATTGCCCTGGATATTAATTTTATGGCAATACCCATCTGCATTGCCTTTTTAAGTCGCGAAACGTCTACATTCATTTCTGGATTCCTGCGTTTTTTCCAACGGTTTACAAACAGCCGACAGCTGGTAGGCATTGTGGTGGATGATTCACTAGCAATAGCTGCTGCTATCACGCAGGTGTATCCGAATGCCCACCATATTCTGTGTCGCGTACACCTTGTTCGGAATGTGATAAAGAGGGTAAGTGTATAGTTTATTAACATTAATTCATTAACCGTAAATGTAGAGGGTGCGATCAGAAATTGTACAACTGTTCTTTCGCCTCATGTTCACTCGAACGGTTGAAAGGTAAATCAAAATCTGCATAACATGACTTTGTAGTTTTAACAATGTACTTTCGTTAATCGAAATGTCGGACGGAACGTTTGGCAGATACGTCAGAGATCACCTTCTACCATGGAAACACAAATGGTCCAATGCTTTTCGATCACCATCAACTGTGTTTGAACTAAACAATACGGACTTCGTGGAGACGAGTCACCGAGTGCTGAAGATGTATCACCTTAATCGGAAAACACTGATGCTCAGATCCATTTTCTATGTGCTGCTTTGTACTGGATGGGAGCAAGATTACAGAAATATTCAACGGATTGTCGGAGGAAAGCCGACATTGGTGAGGAGCCGGAAGTACGTCGACTTCAGGAATGACTGACACCAGCTGCCTGTCAACTATTGAAGTGACACCTTCGTATTCCTATAACGCAGTCTGTATTGTCGGAAGATTTATTCACGGCTACGGACGCCACGGGAACGTACTATGTACACGTCGATACTAGCCGGTGCTCGTGTCCATTCTTCATTGAAAACGGATTACCATGCCGTCACATTTTGGCTTACTGCACACACAGTAATACTGATGTGAACGTACAGTCAATTTGTGACAGGTGGTTACATTCATAATGTCTAGATAATTCAGGTTTCATATTACGGTTAACAATATCCACACATGACTGATTAAACACACTAGTTTTTATTACGACCAAAACATTAATTTTAAAATACAGAACTGAAAATAATTTACAAGTGAAAACAATAAACCGTTTCAATGGACTTTTAAAATTAACCGCATGGAAATCTAACGTTTTCTAATTCTCATTACGAATGACCATTTACAAAATAAACGTTCACTAAATATTAAGTGCCTATTTCGGAAAATTTATTACTACTTTGATAAACTGTCAAGGTCGGTTCATTAAATGATGGTCTACGATTGGTTCACCTGAATTATACATATTGCAACCAGTAATTTATCGTGATGAATTATTGATATGTTGATTTGTTTCTCCGATTAACAGACCATGTGTTACTAAAAAACTTATGCACACATTTCGGTAATAATTTGTTTATTAATTGGGTATTCAACATTTGACTACCAACCTAATTCATTAATCATTATTATCAAATATTCAAACCGGTTTTCAGTTAATTTTTCCCAAACCTTTCTTTTCATGTGATACATATAAGTATTCGTGGCAACAAAACTAACAACTTCAATTGAAGGTTGACATAAAATCACTTGATCGGAAAGCAAAAATTTATCTCAATACACATTCACTAACAGTAGGATTGCACGATTGTGCATTTTAGTTTGTGTTTTTTACTTGAAAATTCAAAATTTTTCTTCAAGACTAAGATTACACAAAAAGAATTATTCATTATCATCAAATTTCAAACTTAAAATGCAAATTATGACATCCAATCACAGCACTTGATGCTATTTCGATTTCAACTAATCACATTGCAAAGATAAACAGTTTACGACCAATCACAAAATTATTAAAGGTGACAAAAGTTTTGTTCATTTTCACTTCAGCACACACTTGCAAAACAAGTAAACCAATCAACAATACCTAAATTTTTCATTCACACCCTACAATTTTTTTTAAATGGGTGGTAGGGAATCATATTTGCCGGGCACTTAATGTCAACCACCGATTAAGATTCGTAATAGCCTATTTGGTCTAGTGAAACTATAGGAATTGTCTGTATGGAAACCGCTAATTTGCAGCTCATTATATTTCTCTCGAATATATACCTTCATAACAGAATCCATGACGATGATGTACCCACCGGTTCTCTCCTTAGCTTCGCATGAAGATAACCGAACCAACAAAGTCTTTTCTTTTCTGTTCTGATGTAGCATTTTCAAGAGACTTTATACAAACTTCATTCTAAAATAACCATGTAGAATGAGCGCTGCATAAACAATATCACATATTGGTGAATTCGAAGTCATACGATCACAACACACGAACTTCATAATTACAAACTTGAATTCTTATCCCTTGATAAGGAGTAAAACTTATTGCTAATACCATCCTCAATGTTGAGGTAATTTACCGTAAATCGTCGTCTACTATGACCAAAACTAATCAGTTTAATAAGTAGATAACAAATTTGCCTTCCCTTCGTCTGTGAATTTAGTCAATTTAGTTTATACGGTCTTTACATTAGGGAAAAAATTTCCTAGTTCCAACTACCATGAAAGGTAAACGTAGTTAATCATATCAGTGTCTAAAAGACTTTACGGCAGTTAAGAACTCCCTAAAACTTGTCAAAGTAGGAGGATATTCTTAGTAATAATTTGGGTTGGTGAATAACTGTCTTAAATGCTCTAACATATCCTATTATCTAGTGAACCGAATGTACTCACGTTGGTTGGATTATATTTTCTTATTTAGACTATTGTATACTTAATGTCTTACTCTGATCACAATGTGAAACTGAAACATGTATAGAAAGTATGCATTGTGACTAACCTGTTAAACCATGAACTTCATTTTTCTACATTAACTTCTAACATTTTATCTCCTAGACCAGTCAGCTGTAAATGGGTCAAAAAATATCTAGTTTATTCATAAGATGTGTAATTCTTATTCATTGAATTTTGTGAAGTAACTGTAATCATGTGAATTAACAAGATCCAAAATCTCAAAGCAATAAGTCGGAGAGTGTTTCTGAGATATTTCGACAGTACTTAATATTATGGTTAATTGTGAAAGGATTAGATGGACATTAACAGGTACTTGTCAACTAGTCAGTTAAGAACTTTATTGAACCTGGAGGTGTCCATAGAGAAGTACTTATTATCAGGCATAGTAATATATCATGTAGGAAACTTTCCATTTTATTTCCTAACACCCAACTAATTAAAAAAATGAAATGACCGGAAGATTAAAAAATTCACCAAAGTAAACTGTTAAGGTGTACGGTATAAATTTAACTACAGCTCCTTAGAGGATAAAATAGTGTATTGATAGTACAGTCATATTCTCTATGCTTAATAAGATTTCATTATTTTATCTATTGTTATTTGATATTCCTTAGACTGGTGTATGAGATAAATCCAATAATCCTGCTTTTTATATGCGATATAAAAGCATGAATAAAAGTGACCGAATTAATGTTTTCACATACCACTTTGGTCATCACCGATATCAGATTCAGTTGGATATTGAAGTAAGAATTCATCAATACTAGCACCTTCAAAATATGTTCGAACTTTTTCTTCCAATTCAGTTATGTTGCTGCGATATGCTTCAGCTAGTGACAATATTTCTTGGGTAGCATCAATAACTGGAACTTTTGATGATAAAATATGTATAGTAGTTGATATTTCATTTGTGCCGTATGATTGAGAATCAGATAAGGATGTCAAGTGACGTACAATATCACGATTGCCAAATTCAATTCTGTTTTCACCGTTTAGAGCCAAAAGACGGAGCACTATTATTTGAAAAAAAGTACCAATTCGTACGCTTCATTCTGAATTTGTAACAAAAAGACACTGATACGATACAGAATAAGCGCATTTGGAATTTTGACCAGTAGCAATTTATTCAGATTGACTGGTATAGTGAAGGAAAGTTCGGAGGTAAATAGTTTGGTTGAAACGCTTGTAGTTTTACGATGTAAAACGATATTGAAAACTAGAAACATGAGGACTTATTAGTCCCCTGTAGTAGTAAGTCTTACTATTAACAATGACGTAATGTGTTGGTAGTTTTAGTGATTGTATACTTTATTGTCTACATTTATCAATCATTTGTCTTATGAAAAAAAACAAATTTTTTCAGGTAAGTTTGACCCATATTTGATAAGAAACAATAACAGTTATATTATCGATTAGTCCAAAGTATTCAACTTTGATTACTGACCATATAAGTAAACCAGACATAACTCGTAATTTTTGATTAGTGGTTGAATTGTTTGTGGATTTACGGCTTGGGAATAATGTCATTAAATACAGCCTTACCCTCTTGCATCAATCGAATAATATCGGTCTTTGTACAGTGGTAAGTAACCAGGTTCCAGAGGTTATAAAAGACCGGTATATAAATGCTTTCGTCAGGTTTCAACGATATTACTACATTCATTGAACTGAAAGGCGACAGTTTGGAAATTCTCTCAATTTCCTAAAACCTTCAAATTTTTTTTACTTTTTTCTACTCAATTCGGGCTTTATAATTCAACCATCTGGTTTATATCACATCAAACAACTGTAACAACCTCTAATAAACAAATCAATTAAATGGTTAAGGTGAAAGCTGTCCGACCAGTTCATTACCGTATTGTTGGTAGCACTCAAGCAAAACAAATCAGTGAAAAGTCCTGTATCATTTCACTTAACTGGAGTAAAGATTTGAGGTGTCTTATCATTAGTACCTTTCAGTTGACATACCTTACACCACTAAATACTAAAGAAGCGGCTAGCTTGAACCTATTAATCTTAAATTGTTTTTAAAATCACCAATTGAGCTGAAGTGATTAAAGAATTCGCTATCAGTTAAACCACATATATCTTAATATTTTCATGATTAATACCATCGACATAATTTCAAATGTGACTGTTCAGCCCACATTTATAACTTACTGATGATATAAACGGTTTATTATCTCTAATGTTATAGGGTTTATAACCACTATACACAAGTGTTTCAACGTTAGATATACGTGGCGATCAACTAGCGTTAAGTATTACACAACTGTAGTTCACATTCATTAAAAAACTGAATTATATCATTAAAATCCCCGGACAGTCAAACTGAGTTCCCAGTATCGATATCACACAATTTCACGAGGTTCAGGTACGAATAAGAAAGCACCAATAAGTACACTCGCCACAGCAACCTTTTTTAATCAATGCATATTACATTGTGTCTGTTTTAGAAACAAAATATTAGAATGAAGTATGAAGAAGAAGAATGTAAGATCCAGTTAAAACACACTCATATTTAAGACTAGTTAGAAAAGAATTGGGTATAAATAGAAGCGATTATACAATCGGATTAATATATATTATTCCAAAAATGAATCAAATAAAGTACACTTGTTATACTAACAATAAAAACTTTAGTGAATAGAAATAAATCATAGTAGATTTGATATAGAGCTAGCAGTAAAATCCAGGATATAGATTTCATCCTATCTGGGACTCAGATTTACTTGTATCCCAGTGTTAATGTCTTTACAGAGACTTGAACCCAGTACCTGTCGCTAGAATCCCACTCTACTTCATTTTACATTTGATTTTCATCGCAGAAAATCACTTTCCATACCCCGTATTTTTGATCAATATAAAATCACTAAAACATTTGGAAGAATGATAACGCAGCATTTATTTGGAAATGACAATCGTCTGCAAATAAACTACCTTTATTGAGAATAGAGGCATCAAAGAAATGACTTTTTCTTCCTCCAATAACAGTATAATGGAACTGTTGCATGAACAATTCAATATACTCTGCTTTTAGATGAAGTTGACTGATATCAGTGTAAGTAAACGTTAAAAAAATGGTTATGGCCAACTGGAAAATAAATATTAACTGGAAACAATGCTACAAACTTTAATTGTTGGATCAGGGCAAGTATAGCGCGTTAAAATATTACGTAGACCATAATCTCTAAGTATTTTTGTTAGGCAACTATTTTCATACGCCAATGCAGTATTTAGTGAACAAATAATTAGAGTTGTTAGTGGAAGTACAGCCTAATATATCATATTTTAAGAATAAAGTGATTCAAACCTCAGACATTTTCATAGCACTGGTGATATGTAAGATACGCCGTACTTCCGTCAAATATATATCAGATTTGATCAGTTTCTGTGTGAAGCTTATGCTGACGATCATATAATTAGTCAATGATTGTTGAAAATCCGTCAGCTTGAGGACCCATTTTTCACAAGGGAGTGGATTGAATGTAGAATAACTTAATGGAATAGCCATTCTTCCTAATTCACGATAAACAGATATGAGGTGGTCAAAAACCGATAACCTTGACAATATATCTACCGCAACCTTTGTACGATACTCTGTTATATTTGCTGGTGCGTCTTCAGGGCTGAAACTATTCACAAATGATTTTAATGATTCATCGAATTCTGCCGTAGCATATTTTTTCGAATTAGCAAGTATAATCAACTGCTTCATGTGCTTTGATGTTGCTTCATATAATTCGCCGAAATTGTTCTTACTCATTTACGGTTATTTATCTGAAGTAAAGTGGCAACAAAAAGTTCATCAAGGAAAGTGAACAGAACAAAATTAAGATAATAATTTGATTCTACTCATTAGATTTATTCCGAAATAGCAAAAAAACGCTTGTTCTACTATTATCAAACAAGCATTTTTAACGGCAACCAAATTTGTTAACACTGTATTCCCCACAATGAACATTTACGACTCACCTTTCCTCATTCTATACGAATGGATGTTTAAGAATCATAACAAGGAAGACGTGCTGTTGTATTCACGTAGCACTGTTGCTTCCGACAAGAACAAAAATGCAAAAGCCAGTTATTGATACTGAAATCAGCTTAGTAGATAAGTCCAGTTCACTTGACAAATCTATGGTTACAAGAACCTTGATATCTTAAATCAGTTAAATATAAATAGAGCTTCGATTACCAGCTGATGTAACATGGATCATACAGCCGTTTTGTTTCTGTGTGAATAGAAAAACTGATTACTGTAATAAACTTACGTGTTCCAGTTGAAGGGAGCAGGTAGCAAAGGAATTTTATTAATACTCTTATTTTACTCCGACTAATTATTGTTGTACATTCTGTCTTATATGTGCTATTTAAAGTTACAGAGTAGGTGCTCATAGAAGTGTCCTTTATTATGAAACTTGATTGGCCCTAGAAAACCAATCATGGCGTTTAAACTTGCGTCTTCAGCGTCCACAACTTAACGCGAATCAGACAAGCAGATTCATAGGGGGCTGAAAGAAATATAACCAATTTGTGGTGCACCAGCGACCGAAATTCCAACGAAACGATAAACTGTAAGTCTTTCTGAAGGTCTCAAAAACATATTTCAGGTATGCTAACCCAAGAAGTCCACAATATTGATGTATGAAACGGTGTCTTTTACATTAGGTGCTAGAAATGAAACTCCACTAATCTACTGGATTCCTGTTAGAAACTTGGTTCCTGTTCGGTAACGCAGTAATCGGTTAAAATCGGCGTTTTTTCTTCCTATTTTTAGGTGTTTTCATAACCCTTAAAGTCTACGAAGTACAGCCTAATTAACAACAAATGAGTCTCCATTTATATTATTAGAACTTTGGATTTGAAGACTTTTGACCGAACTGAACTGGTTTGTAACATATAGTCTCAAAGGCGCCAATTGCATCGACCTAGCTAGCAGAGACAACAATCTGGAAAGCGTATATTAGCCCTGGAAATGGGAACTAATTGGTTATTCCAGGCTATGTTGGTTTACTGAAAGGGCGTTAACGAGTGCTAAAAACACCAGCCACTGAGCGATTGGTTGTCGAATTGTGAATAGCGTCATAGTAAATTAATAGCTTCAAAAAACTAGTAAAGTTGAAATATGTATGTGTCATGATTATATTATATTCCACCCTTTTACAAGGTAATGAAAAGAGATTGAGCAGAACTAAGTGCTGTAGTGAGAACAACAGTTTCAATCTAGCGTTTCACCAATGGTGTGAAATCGACTTCATATTATGCCAACGTGTTACTCCCTTACTCCATGATTTACGTCTCCGAACAAACACCCTGTCAATCACATGAATCAACAGATCCTGCACTAGGACAATATAACCTTTTCTGTCGACGATCGACAACGGTTTCTGTGTTTAGTGAAAATTAGGTCATTCAAAACGTACCCCCTCCCGATAGGGAGGGAAGTTTTGAAACTTCACCAGCAGTACTCCTTGGTAAACAGAATGTCACTTTTTCTCTCAAAATATTCTTCCTAAAAAAGTCCTGTAAAATTCCGCTGTTTCCTTTCACCTAAAATAGATATTAAAGGATAATTCGTTTTGATGCAGAACCAAGGATATGGTCATTATGTCAAACAAATCCGAATCTGTGAGGATACGGACGTTAATGTCGAGAATTTCATCGATACTTTTCCTAGATATTTCTCTTAAAATATAATTCACGACCCCACAACTATAGTGAAAATTATTAAAACTAAATAATGAAGGTACTTATAACTTATTAAAGGGTTTGTCACAGCTTGAATAACCGTGACATCTTTAAGGGTTTGGTAGTTTTCTCCAAAGTTTGGGAAATAACCCCAAAGTGTCATAAGATTTTTGTGGAAATATTAGTAGGAACCCAAAATTTCCTCAGACATTTTGAGGATTTTCCCCAGATCTGTGCAAAACTATAGCAATTTGATTATAAATTTGCCGATGTATTTGCTTGTATATAAATATTTGCCTCTCAGCTTCGAAATCTGAGCTATCTGCTAATAAACTGTAGTTCCAGCTTCTCATTGCCTTTTGATTTCAAACAACGTTGAGGTTTATATAATAATGGTTATAAGGGTGATTGATTAACGAAACAAAGCCACTACACTGGTCTCATATACAGCTATAGAATTAATTGGTTTTAGGTTTAATAGGAGTCGATTGCGCACCATAAAGAACCATAAACTACGTGAAACCAAGAAAAAGAACTGATACTTACTACGCTTTTTTAGATATCGAGGGACCGTGTCATTGTTGACTAGTTTAAACTGCTCAAGGTCTTTCTCACCAGGATTTTATCTTTCCCATATTCGTAGATATGAAATCGCAACACCTGAGGGTACATTAGGCTAATTTACGCAAATACAACGAAATACGAGTAAATAATTGAAAAGAAAAATGGAAAGTCATAATACTTGTAGTGTGGTTTTCAGATGAACAAATGTTATTGGATGAAATTGAAGCTTTCGTTTAGCGAGCTTGACTCTCAGTTTAAATTTCAGCTACCGAATGACAAAAGGCGAAGTGGTCTGTGCTAGCTCTGTTAATGGAATTTCTTAGTTAATCGAACTTTCTATAGAATGTGTCGGTAGACGGTGCTCTATTCACATGTTAAGGTAAGAGCTTCACCCATAAATGATCCTGTTAAAAGGTCGGCAGTCAGATGACAAATGGTTTGTTCTGGGCATGCGAAAGTCCTTATTGTGTTCCCGACAGTGTTTTTCATTATAAGACAAGGAAAACGAGGGTATGTCAGATACAAAATTATTATTATTACCACGTTTTTCTAGTAACGTCGTTTATGCTGAATAGTCATCAGTGTGGTCATAGTACTCGAGTACGACAGAGTGGTGATACACAGTAGTTATTATCATGAGGTGTGACTTCGACGCTAGCTGGTTGGTCACGCCATTTCCGTTTCACTCGAGCAAACCCCGAATCATTCAACACAGACAATTGACGTTGGTGATCTACAGTCTCAAAACTGTCCACTAACCAAATTTTTCCAGCCAGATAATCTAAAGCTAACACGTACTGATTTTTCTGACGTCCAACTACAAAATTCATTATCCACATAAGCTACCCTTGATAGGGATTAATTTGGATAACATTCTGTTATACGGAACTTTGTCAAAGGCAATAGCGAAGTCCATGAAGGCTACATCGAAAAGCAGCTTTCGACAGTGAAGCGCGCATTAACCTTCTCGAGCTAATAATAAGTTCATGAATAACCTGTGCTAAAACTGTGTTGCTTCTCGGAAAAGATCATATTTTCATTTCACTACCTAAGCAACTCTTTGCGAACAGCCTTCCATAAAGCCCAAACAATCACGTTTGTCCAGCTTACGATATTATATTTGTCAGGTTTATATTCTCTACCTGTTTGAAAGGTAGAGCTTAGCATGATGTTCTTCTAGTAGCTTCATAATTTACTTTGAGTCATAGAAAGAGTGAAACATGTACTGGGAGATTTGGGATGAAGTCTGACAGTGTTTTTAGTAATGTAGGATGCATTTCATTTGGTAATATATATTTAACTATATCTAGTTTATTCGGTGTACGAAGGACAGCCGGTTCTTTACTGGTCACAATATCTAGGGTGTGATAAAAAGTGGTCATAGTACTTAGGAGGAGGTCGTCTTTATGTTTCGTTCTCTAGTTCATTAACGCAGAATACGATCTACAACTACGCACTCGAACTTGTGGAAAACCACAGTCACAAATCAGAAGACAAGAAAACAGGAGGAATTATTATCGGATACGAATAAAAAATGTACAGGAAAACATGTGTATTTACAGTTATTAGCGTTGGTTGTATTATCATTATAATTCAGCCCATCGGCAAAGGAGCATGTTAAACGTACGTCCAGTCGTAGCATGCCACGCTGATATTCTAGTAAGCTCCATTATGCTCTGACTGGATGAAAACCCTTCAACTCCTTTGGGACCTCTGGAAGCCCTGTAGTACTTTCCGAAGACTGCCCCAGCACTTTAATGTACATTGTTTGCCTAAGAAGTCTGTAAATATATGGACTTCACCGTCACCAACATCTAGAGTTGATGTCCATGTATTTGATACGAATAGAAATAACAGAAATATTCGTAAGGCAGTATAATATATATAATATAAACTCCGTCCGGAGTCCTTCCTGTGGCTACTGCCGGTCACAAGCCCGGATAAAGGGGGAGGGTCGGGCATGGGGTTAGCGACCGAATCCCACAGAAAACGAACTCGCTAAAAAACACTAAACATAAAAAATTATTCAAACCTTTTAAACTCTGCCCTGGGAATCAGAAGGTCTTCATTTAGAAGAATTATGACGCCTCATGATGAAAGCCGCGTTCCCTCGGAAGTCATGAGGCCGATTCCCATTCTGACAACCAGAGCAACCATTTATTTATGTACATAGAATGCTCGTACAATGTGGGAGACCGGGAGAGTCTTCCAAGTTTCTGCTGAAATGAAGAGATACAACCCGGAGGTGCTTGGGATCAGTGAAACACAATGGACGCAAGTTGAACAACAACGACTAATTTCAACAGAACTTCTGTTATATTCCGGCCATGAAGAAAAAATGCCCCACATACACAAGGAGTTGCATTAATCCTGTTCAAACAAGCACAAAATCACTCTTTATCAACTTCATTGACTACGAAAAGGCATTTGATGGCGTGGACAGAACAACACTATGGAAGCCTCTTCGGTACTACGGCATGCCTCATACAGAATTCCTATGATGGATTAAACTGC